AGTGTGCAATCTTGCTGAGAACATTTTTATTTGTTTACAAAAGTATTAAGAATCAGATTAAGACAACTGGCTTCTGAGAACTGGGAGTTCGGGTTTCAGAGATATTTATAAAGTTTTCACAAGCCAAGTAGGACACGCGCCAGCACGGGCCAAGTGAATGGCGGAAGCGGGCGTTCGTGCGTTGCCTGGAAATCTTCACTGCTCAAGTCCAAGCTGAGTCTCCGTGCTTATAAAATACGGCATTTCTGACTCAAAACAGTTCTTTTAGCCGATGAAAGAGATTTTAACTCAAGATCTGTGCACAGGAGGAATTTTTAAATATTCAGGCCCCTCCCCTTCCCTTTTATATTTATTTTTTGTTTCTTTGTGGTACTGGGGATTGAACCCAGGGCCTTCTGTGTTTACCTACATCCCCAGCCTGTTTTTTTTTTTTTTTTTTTCCGGTACTGGGGATCGAACTCACTACCTTGCCCTTGCCAGGCAGGCGTTGTGCCGCTGAGCTAAATCCCCAGCCCCACCCCAGCCTTTTTTTATGGCAGGGTCTTGCCAAGTCAGTAAACTGCTCAGGCTGGCCTGAAACTTATGATCCTCCTGCTTCAGCCTCTCAGAGTGCTGGGATTACGGGTGGGCGCCACCATGACCAGCTGACCCCCTATTTTTAGCTATCTAATTCTTTAGATTTTAACTTTTTCTGTCTTGTCTTAGACATGCCAAAGATGGTGAAAAATGACTGCCTGTTGAATATTGCAGCACTTATAAAATAAAGCCGGGAGCAAAATCCTTCTAAACACAAAGTCTTAAGTACAGCTTCTTGGTCTAGCATTTCACTGAATTCACACTCAAGCAATTCTGTAGCAAATCCTGTGAAAGAGAGGACAAGAAAAAAAGACGTGGCACCACTACTGTCCCCACAGGTCGTAGAGTGCAAGTGGATGGCAGAGCCCTGTCTTCCCGAGCCTTTGTTCTTGAAAGGAGCCTCAGAGCTCTGACTTTTCTCTTCACTGTAGAAGAAAACAGCGCTGACTTTTCACGGTAGAAAAAAAGGCTTGGAGCCAATGTTGCTGCTGGGTGCAGGTGTTTTTCTCAACAGTCTGAATAAATCTTCAGCTCATAAACAGTCCAGTAAATCTGTTCTGATGGATCCTATTTCTTAAATGATACAGCGATAAAGATAGAATATTTGAGCTTGGATTTTGTCTCTGTAGCTGACACAGGGATAAAAATGAGTTCCATTTCAGACATTCCAAAGGGGCCATTAATCAGGATCTTAGAACGTACTCTCAGGATGCCGGCTAATTAAGTCAAACCAAGGATCTGAAGGCATTTCTTACTCTAACTGTATGCAGAAAGACAGTCATGAAGTTGTTTGGAAAAGCAGTGTAAATTTATATGAAGTGTCATAACTCTGACCCTCCTTCTCCTTTTCCTTCTCTGTCACGCAGCTGTTTCAGTCTGCAAAAGATACATCCATGCCAAGAATTCTACTGGACATGAACTAAACTGCTTTAATCTTTGTGTGTACCTTGGAAGGAGGAAGCCAGTTTCCCCTGGCAACCTGGATCATCAATCCACATGCACTTCATCTTTACAGACATGGGTCTTCCTTTGGAGGTGCCAATGGGGTTCATCAGAATTTGTCGCTAAGCAGGCATACTGCAAACCTACTTAATACAAACTATTGGATTTACAGTTGGTTTAAGTAGGTGTAGAATGGATACAAAAGGTTGAATAAAATATAAGCATGACAGGGCAGAGAAGGTGGCTAGGAAAGAGTCTATCATGAGGTAAGCAAAATGAGCTTTCTGCCCAAGTTCGTTTGAGGATAACATAAATAAAAATGAAGGAAAGTCCCCAATTTGAATTTTAAAAAATATTCTATGCACAGGACAGTAACAATTGTATTGAGAATCTCTCATATCAGAACTATGGTTTGCATGTAGCCCAGGTACAACATATTGCAGGTCTCCATTTTACAGATAAGAAGACTGAGGCTAATGTCAGTAAGCAAGTAAGTGGCAGAGAAGTATGGGTTACATTTTTAAAGTGTGGATTAAAAGCCAGGCATAGTGGCACATACCTGTGTTCTCAGGGGAATTGCAAGTTTGAGGCTAGCCTGAGCAAATTAGGAAGACCCTGTCTCAAAATAAAAAATAAAAAGTGACTGGGGATGTATTTTAGTGGTAGAGTGCTTACCTAGTATGTATGAGGCCCTGGGTTCAATCTCTAGTACTAAAAAGAAAAAAGTTATACAGTAATTTAAAAACTCAGTGGTAGAACACCAAGTTATAACTCAGGTAGAATTCATATTTAGCATGCACAAGGCTTTGGGTTCAATGTAAACAAAACAAAAACCTCAAACAACAATAAAACTCTGTGTCTTAGTTATTTACTTGTTGCTGGGACAAAACACCCAATACCCACTAGTTAAAGGAGGAAAAGTTTATTTTGGCTCAGTCCATAGGTCACTGTTTCCAAGGCAGGGCAGCATGGCAGAGGGGCATGGAAAAGGGGAAACAGCCCATGGTAGGGCAGGCAGGAAGTAGCAGATAGGGAGTCCTCCTTTCCCTCTTCATTCCATCTAGGCTACAAGCCTATTGGTTGGTGCCACCTACACCCGAGTGGGCCTTCCCATTATCCACATCCAGAGCTTTGGTAAACAGATCAGGGGAGTAATCCAGTTATCACACACCTTTAATCCAATATCACACAACCATCATGATCCAGTAATTCCCCAAAGTCCGTCTATGAGCACGAGGTTTTGGGGGGGACACCTAGCTATAAGCTGTAACACTCAGATTTTCTTTTACATTTCCCTCTGTAATTCTGAGACGCCATGTCATTCTAAATAGTTTTATTTCCTATATGGCTGAGGGTCTTGCCACTAGAGGCTAAACATTACCCAGGTGTGGTGGCGCACAGCACTTGGGAGGCTGAAGCAAGAGGGTCACAAGTTCGAGCTCAGTGTGTGTACTTACTTAGTAAGACCCTGTGACAAAATAAAGAAGGTAAGGACTGGAGCTATAGCTCAGTGTAAAGGCCTTGGGTTCAATACCCACTACCATAAAAGCAAAACACGGCATTATCATATTTAAAATAACAACCCCCCAAAACACACACACACATACTCTCTTTCTAAAATTATAGTTGCATTTCTTTGCCTCTTTCATATTACACTGAGTACTTAGCAACTTTATCCTCAAAACTCATCCTTAGCAGGGTGACTGGACTAAACCACTGGTGAGCAGGAAGCACGCTCAGGACTGAGGTGTGCGGCTACTGGCCCACGCTGTGCTGTTTCCAGTTTGCTCTTCAGCATGTGATTCTGATTCTTTTTCTACCTGCTGTTCATGTGCTTAAAGTCCTTTTCCTTCCTGGAGCTCTTCCTAGGGCTTGTAGAGCTGATAACGCAATCGCTAGGGCTGTATGTAAAGTAGAAGTGAAAAAGCCTGAATGGGTGGTCTGAGGGGAAATTAACAGGTTCCTTGACTGCTTTGTTTTTCAAATGTATATTTTAATAAGTATAAAGTATATAAACAATTAGTAAGCTTATGGAGAAGCTGACCGAGATACAGGAATTACAAGATACATGTATCCATTTAAATTTTCTATACTTTTTTCTTTTTGCAGAATATTTATTAAGATTAACATACAACTTTTCCTATGTCATTTTGGAAGTCCTTTATTGTACAGATGATTTTTTTTGTCTTTTTGAGATAGGATCTCCCTATGCAGTTCAGGCTGGCCTTGATCTCATTTTATAGCCCAGGCTGGTCTTGAACTTGCAATGATCCTCCTGCCTCAGCCTCATGAGCACTGGGATTACAGGTGTGCACCACCATGCCCGGCCAATAATCCCCCCACCCCCACAGTCTCAGTATGTAGTACAGGCTGGCCTTGAACTCCCTTATGTAGCCTACACTAGCCTGGAACTCATGGCGATTCTTCTGCCTCAGCCTCCCAAGTGCCAGGATCACAGGCAAGTGCCACCATGCTGGGCATAAAGTAGTTCTTTTGTGTGATGACAATCAGCAGCCACAATCATTATTCTGGACCTGCACGTTGGATAAACTCCATTTCCTCTTGAGATGTAAGGTAGCATTTTTATTATTTCTGCAATGTCCGGGGGATGTGGATGCATTAGCAACTCTGGTGACTTACTCCCCTGAGAATACTGTGACATTACAGAAGAGTGAGATGGCATCCCTGCTGAGCTCAAAGCTTCTGATACACTGGATTTAGCACTGAATCTTCTGTCAGGGAACCTATTAAAGCGTATGTGACTGGACTTCCTGTGTGACCCTGCTGGCAGACGCCATCTTGCTGCTCCTCCTGACCCTGGGCCGCTGGCTGCTTTATTCCACCTCAAGATGGCCTCACTGCACACTCGAGGATCCTGTTGTCCAAGCAGGTGAGGGGCAAGTAAATTTCACCAGAAGCAAGACACAAGCACGCGAACAAGCACACTCAAGTGCACACCTGCATGTGCATATGTGGTTTTATTTATTGTCTCCTAGAACTCACCACCCTCAAAAATTTCCATGAAATCATTTTATTTCTGAGGAAAGGAAATACTTTAGTACCCATTAACATTTGTTTATACTGCTCTATTGTTGAGGTTTTTTTTTTTTTTTCCTATGATGGAATGTGTGTGATTTATCCATTGTAAAAGCCTTCCTACACATTTACATAGACTTGTCATTAATCTTTCTTTTTTTCAATAAGAAAGCATTCTACCAGTGAGTTCTATCCCTAGCTCCTAAACCTTTTCCTTAGCAAGACAATAAAAGATCAAGTCAGGCATGGTGGTATACCTGGAATCCTAGCAATTTGGAGGCTGAGGCAGGAGATTGAAAGTTCAAGACCAGCCTGGGCAACTTTGCAAGAATGTGTCTAAAAAAAAAAAAAAAAAAAGCTAGGGAGGTAGCTCAGTACAGAGGTGCTGGGTTCAATCCCCACTGCCACCTCAAAACCAAACCAAACCAAATCACCATAACTCTAGGTCAGTTTTATGCTCTGGAATCTTTTTGCTTTGTGTATAATTTAAAACCCAGTAATGCAGTGTGGTAGGCTTAACACAGTGAGGGCAGAATGAAGGACAGCTAGTATTTTACAGGACTTCAGCCAAAATTCCAGCAGCTTAGTACTGCGACAACATATTTACTTTATTGCTTAACAAACTGATTACGATCATTCCTTCAACTACCTAGTGGGAATTAAAGCTGGCCCCCTGGGTTGCAGACAGGACCTCTGAATGTTGAGAATCAATTACAGTCTATTCTTAACAGATGAGAAAGCAGAGGTCTAGGGACTTTGGGGATGTGAGCACACGCAGACCTGTTTCAGGCTGGAGTATAGCCCGGGACCACTGCTCTTTATGAATAGGAGTATCTCCTTTGTGTTTGTCCTTTCGCGCTTATACAGCACCTCCTCAGCTTCACAACACTGCTTCTGTTACATCCTTCTGCTCACAGCAAAAAACTTTTCTTTCTTGTCTTTGGGGGTTTCAAACCTGTAGTACAGCAGCTGATTCTAAACTTTAAATTAAGAAAAAAATATATATACATGTATGCGCACACCAGGCTGTGTGTGTGTGTGTGTGTGTGTGTGTGTGTGTGTGTGCGCGCGCGCGCGTGCGCACGGATATCCTGACAGTCGAAAGCACACAGGGGGAATGAGCTTTGAGTTTCTTTTGACAATGCCAAAGGGCTCAGAAGCAAAATGCTTTGGAAGAGACTCAGTTCCGTGAGCCTCAGGTTCAGACAGAATGGTGAGTGCGGCCACCTGCTCTTCCTGCGGCTTTTGCAGTTAATCCTTCGAAGAATGAAGACAAGTCACTTCTCCTGGGATTTTTCTTTCTTGTTTTCTTTTTGTAAGGTAATTACTGTACTAAGGTATGGTAATAAGGCATTATAGAAGATGAGAAGTAGCACGTGAGGGAGGTAATGAGACAATTCCAAAAAAATGCTGGAGAAATTAAAAACCAGATTCTGGGGCAGGGTGGATGTTAACACGTTTTCCTCACAGGGCCTTACACATTCTGTGACTGCCCTCAAAAGCAGGAATGGAAAAAAACAGACACTCGGCTGCAGAAGGAAGCTGGGATCCCGGCTCCACAGGATTTAATGTCTTTAAAACTGGGCAGGACATCAAGTGCATTTTCCAGAATAGGCCAAGGAAGACAAGTCCAGTTTGGTTTTCAAGGCTTCGGTCAGCTCTGTGGCCAGCAGCTCGTGGAGGGACATGCCATCGTGGGAGTACACCCAGTTTTTCCCGGTCCAGTCATAGCGCTTGGGTCCACTGGAAGACAGACAAATGCATGGTAAGTCCATGAGGACAGTCTGAGAACCACTATGTTATGTGTTATGGCTTGGATCTTTTTTTTTTTTTTTTTGGTATCCGGAATCAAACTCAGGGCCTTGCCAGGCAGGTGCTGCTCTGCTGAGCCACATCCCTGACCCTTATGGTTTGGATCTTTAATGTCCCTCAAAGGCCATGTACTTGGTCACGATCCAGGGTTACTGCTGGGAGGGTGGTGGGACCTTCAGGAGGTGAGGCCTGGTGGAAGGGAGCTAGGTCACTAGGCGCATGCCCTTGAGGAGACACTGGGATCTGAGCTTGTCTTCTCTCTCTCTTTGCCTTCATGAGATGAGCAGGCTCCTCTGCCATGCGCTCCCTACCATGATGGTCTACCTCACTATGCAACCCTGGACTGAAGTCTCTAAAACTATAAGCCAAGTAAATGTTCCCCTTTGGAGTTTATTTTCTCACACAGTGGTAAAGTAACACAGACTCTGCAAAGAAAATCATTCCACCCTTCTTAAAAATGAGTTTCTGGCTGGGCGTGGTGGTGCATGCCTGTAATCCTAGCACCTGGGAGGCTGAGGCGGGAGGATCATTGTGAGTTTGAGACCAGCCTGGGCTACAAAGTGAGCTCAAGGCCAGACTGAACTACACAGCGAGATCCTGTCTCACAAAAGACAAAAAAAAAAAAAGTTTCTGTACATCACCTTCTGATTTCTCACTTTTCCTACCTTCCATATGCAATCTGCTGTCTTGGAGTAGTGTTTATGAAATCATGACCATTCTTTTTTTTTTAGACAGAGTCTCACTATATAGTTTAGGCTGACCTTGAACTCACTGTGCAGCCCAGGCTGGCCTCAAACTCACAGTGATCCTCTTGCCTCAGCCTCCTGAGTGCTGGGATTACAGGCGTGCGCCACCATGCCTGGCGAAATCATGACCATTCTTGTGCCACTGATGTGACTGACAATGGCTTCCCTACACTGTCATTCACTCCCAATTCTCTCCCAGGCCTTGGCAGCCACCTAAATTATTATTTTTTTAAAAACCTTTTAAAATTAAAATTTAAACCCGGTGTGGGGGTGCACGTCTGTGATCCTAGCCCTCGGGAGGCTGAGGAAGGTGGATTGCCCCAAGTTTGAGACCAGCCTGGGCTACAAAGTGAGCTCAAGGCCAGCCTGAACTGCATAGGGAGACCCTGTCTCAAAATGACAAAAATAAAAGTTGAAATTCATGGAATAGAGCTTGATGGGCTAATTCATCTGCCTTGAGCTCATTTAGTTAAAAAAAAAATGGCACATGGACTTTACTGTGGGAACGCTGGGTATTAAGGGTTGGATGCGTGTCCCGAAGGTCTGTGTGGAAAGGCGGGGTCCCCAGGAAGGTGGTACTGTGTCACCTGAAGAGAAGAGGTCCAGTGGGACACCCTCAACTGAGTGGGGTACATCCATGAAAGAAACCATGGGACCCTACCTAGCCCGTACGTGGCTTGAGATGCGACTGTCACCCCCTCACATGATTCCGGTGTGATGTGCCACTCTTACAAGAGACTGCAGCATATCTGCTCCTGCCAGCCCAACCTTGGGCTGTGATACTTCAGAACTCTGAGCGAAATGAATTGGCTCTCCTTATAAGTTAGTTGCCATAGTAATGTAATACAGTACTGACAGTATGCTGTATTTTTTTTTTTATTCATATAAAAGTTTAGAAACATCATATCACAGTGATATATGTGCACCTATGTTCATAGCAGCAAAATTTGTAATTGCTAAATTGTGGAAGCAACCCAAATGTCCATCCACTGAGGATTGGATAAGAAAATTGT